TCTATCCCAGCCAAAACCAGGACAGAAACCAAGGGAATAAGCTTTTTTGTTGCAAGTATCCATATAGTAAATGTTGGCACCTGTAGTAGGAGTCTAACTGTATCTGCTTCTAAATACAGTATCAATAGAAAAGTATAGATGAGCTCTATGCTGCAAGCAAATTGGAGTAAATGTGAAAGTTTTTTAAAAACCCACAACAGAATGATCCCTCAAACACCATGTGTCCCCCCCAATCACCAAAACTCAAACTATTCTTATTATTTAATTAAAGTTTAAATTTTCTTCCAAACCTTTTACATAAGGATAGTGAAGATGAAAATTTGTGATCCTTCCGGCCAAAATATAAGTAGGCAAATCACATATACGAAATGAATGATTTTCTTATTCTATATCAAGTGAGAGGTGTTAGTTCTCAAAAAAGACTGCTGGAGACAAGAAAATTGTATGTGTGTATATACGTATGTATACATACACATAGATGGGAGCTGCAAATGCTCAGCTGAGGAATCAAAAGCGAAGAAGTAGCAAGTGAATAAAAAGTTAACATTTCATCTACTTATACCTATTTTAATACAAGTTCCTTATGACTTTTACCAAGAACAAGTTCTTGATGGACTGTAAGTTTGGGACCCCTAAGTTTTATAAGCAGTAGTTGATGTAATTATATGCAATTTAATTTTGTCTCATGCTTCCTAACTTCAAGAGGAAAAGAATAAGCATAGCGTCTTTTAAGATGTAGAGCAAAGATTTTTGTTCTACAGCATCTAATGAAGCAATGAAGCCGAATACTATACTAACTCAAGAGACAAATTCTGTCACATCTCAAACTCATAAAGCTTTTTTTGATTAAGGCAAGAGCCCTACATATTACCTCCAAAAATGAGTGACTAAAATACTGGAGTTATTTTTATATTTCTTTCCCTCCTAATTCAGCAGAAGGAACAAATGTAATTGCTACGGTCGTGATAGTGAATGCGAAGTTGTCGTTTTAGTATTTTAGTCTTGAAAATACTCAAAAACATTGTTACCTAATGAAGTTGTACATACTGTTTCCTATCTGATAATATTCATCTTCTTATAAAGAAATTATGTGGGTTTTTTTCTTAGTTATTAAATCATGTCTTAAAAGAGCTCGCGGAAACGAAACAAGTTAGAGAGAACCTCTTGGAAGTTCATCTGAATGGCAAGTAATACAGTATTATTCAAATATTATGTTACGTTCAGTTGCTATATATTTTGTGTACTGAACAAAAATTTTGGTTTCAGCAATTGTGATCTAGCCTCAATTATGGACACATTTGTCTGTGAGCTCCAAAATGCCTTTCTTTGTATCTCTCTATATAAAGAGAACTTCTGTGCTTTTAATGACTTTTCAAAATGTTAAAAATCAGTTCAGTTGTGACCAAATGGTTTGAAGTAACTTCTTATTACATGTGGAAAATTACTGTCTAGCCTTAATTTATAACAAGACATAGCTTTGTAAGGCTGGAAGTGGAGAGAAGCTTCTGGATATGTAGTGTCTGTAGACATGGCCTCTTGGAGTGAAGGAGAATTTCCAGTTCTTCATGAAAAATCATTTTCTTTCAGGGCTTCTGCAGACGAATGATAAAGTGGCCCTGAAGGAGATCACCAGACAGTTGCGCCTAGAAAATGTGGTTGAGGATAAAGTTTTTGTAAGTATCAACTTTGTTACACTCTTTGCTTATCTCCCTCAAAAATCCTTGCCTGGAAAACCAGCTTTATAGGATGCAGCTTGTTGAGACTGAATGGGCTTTGAGAGTTTATTAGCAAAATTGCGATGGGCTGGCTCAGTCTTCTCAAAGCTTTCTTTTTTAAAATACTTAATAATTGATGGCAGTAGTGAACTGTGGCAGCATTTACCTGTGAAGACCCTCGTTTACAAACACTTGAAGCATGCCAGCAAATACTTGTGTTCTAGTCAAGTGCTGAACGTTACATTTTGCTAGTTGAGTAATATTAATGCATCCTGATACTTTTTCAAAAAAACATGAACTTTGACTTAGAGAAGGAGGAAGAATGGAAAGGCTCTCTTAACATTTACTTCATGCACCTAAATGAAACAAACATTAAGCATTCCGAAGAGACTTTGTTGAGAGGGGTAGAGTATTTTGGAAACACCGGCTTTAACATTTCAAGACAAAGAGTAAGCAAGTTAACCAGCCAAAAAGCAGCATGTTTAGTATATTTGCAACCTTTTCTGATTCATAGGGAAATCTGTCCAGACTTCTTAGAGCCTTTCATTTTGCATAGAATTTCTAGTAAATTATTTGCTTCTATTGACCTTTTCTCAACATTTCTCAACCGAAACTCATTTACATTAGTATTAAAGTCAGTAATAAAGAGAGTAACTGAAGTGCTTCAGATTAAATTTCACTCATTTGAGTGTGAAATAACTTGGGCTAGTGATCTGAGCTACCCTGGTTGTTGCCTGTTATTCAGTGAGTTCTTGAGAGGCCATCTCCTGGTACAACAGAAGGTCCTTCTGAGCATCATCTCCTCTGCTCCCAGGTAGGGCCTTTGAGATTAGCATAGTTGTGACTCATGTGTAATACCGATCGAAGTGGCTAAAGCGGAATTATGAGAGGGGAGAAAAGTGAAATCTCAATAGATGAGGTTTATTTTTATCAGTTGCGTTTGGAAAGCTTCTAGAGAGGTAAGATGTTACTACTTTAGTTAAGAGAAGCCAGAGAACCAGGTTAGAGGCAGTGTGGAATACAAGATAAAGTGTGGATTGTAGTTATTAGGCTTTATTATCTTCTGGAAATGCTTGCTTCTTAGGCTGTGCTTTGGTTTCTTACTTATCCCAAATGATTTTAGTTACAGAGGGTGGAAAACGCTTTCTGGTGGTGAGCTAAAATTTTCCCAAATACAGCTGCAGTAATAAAAGGAAATAGCAAGTATTTAATTTCAGCATTGCAATTTGAATGAGTTCTTTTCAACAGAGAACTAGAACAACCTTTCAAGGTCTACAGTTCCACTACCAAAAATGCTGGAAGCAAAACTGGACTTATATATGCTTAATTTTCCCCATTAAGTTATTGTGGAGTACTACTTTAAACTTCTAATCCCTTCGGTTGCACACAGGCATGGAAACATACTGATTTGCAAGAATGTCCTTACTTCTGTCCGTAGAAACTTTTCCTTTCTTAGCTTCTGCAACGGGCTTTCAGAGGGTAAATTGGCTTTTCTGCCTTCTTTGATAGGGCTTGTGGTCTTCTAGTTATTTCCCATCTCACAACTGGTGTGCTTCAGAGTGTGTAAATGTGTGTGTAACCGAAGCAGGATGGTCATAGCAATTCATTGTTTTCTGTCGTGAAAGTTTGATGGTTTCCTCTATCTAATAAGGTTGCTAACTAAAAAACTGCATACTGATCATTCTCAGTGGAACACGTTAGGTGGCAGGTTTTGCATGTGTGTAGATGGAAAATGAGTATGCAATAGCTATTTAAGGAGAGATAAAGCTACTTGTAAATTTAGCTTATTGTAGACATTCTTCTGATTGCTAATTTTTGCCTGTATGAGGCAATTGATTTGGGGTTTTCAGACTGGAAAAGAAGTGGATCAATGTAGAGTTAACTATCAGTTTTTGTGTCCCGAAGAGGTTATGATTATACAACATGAAGTAACATTGTAAATTTTCGAATATGCACTGGTTTTGAAAGCAGGGCTTTAGAAGGAAATGGCCTTCATTACATGTCTGAACTTGATGTAGTTACACAATTCTGAGAACGACATTGAAAATCTATTGTGAAACTGTTTTCTTCTCTGTGCAGGGTAGTTTTGCTGAAAATCTTGCGTTCCTTCTTGAAGCTCTAAGGAAAGGTAAACACCAGTAACCCCTGTTCTGAAACACTGTGTGTGTGTGTTTGTCACTTGAGTGAAAAGTTAGCATATATGTGTTTCTTCATCTATTTGTACAAGTGGTATGAAGAAATCTAGCCCAAGAATGTGTCCTGGTTACAAAATAATGTAAAAAATATGTAATACTAAACAAACATATACCTAACATAACTGATGCCGTGAAGGCTTGCATGTGATGGTCAGCTATGCAGGACAGGTTCTTTTATCCAGATTTAAGCTATTAAAAATAGTGTGTTTTTAAAAATTTGCCATAGAAGTCTGTCTTCCCTTGCAACCAGAAATGATGCTTGGTAGAATACTACAAAACCTTACCAATTTTTCAGTGTATTTTTCTTTTTACCGTTGCAGCAGTACATATGTGAAAGGAGGGCTTAGCAAAAAGCTAAAAGAAAATACGTAAATTGTTAAAACCAGAAAATGTGAAAGCTGTAGAGATGGAAGTCTGATGATGATGTTACCGTATACTGACTTTTAAAATTGCTATCTCAGGAGATCGAACTAGCAGTTGTCCAGTCTTGTTTATACTGGATGAATTTGACTTGTTTGTTCATCACAAGAATCAGACGCTGCTCTATAACCTCTTTGATATATCCCAGTCAGCACAGACTCCAGTAACAGTTATTGGACTTACATGTAGACAGGTAAGAAATTGCGCTTTCTCGTTCAAAGTTTTTAGCTGTTTTAAAGAGACTTTTGTCTTAGTTGGAATGTTTTCTCTTCTCCTCTCCCGGAACCTTACTTGATTTACTAAGAGACTTTTCTCAGTTATCCATTTTTCTGACTTTTGAATTGGGAAGGGGGACAGGGGGGGATAAAAAAAAAAAATTTTTGCTGAGAGCAAACTTAGATGACCAAAAAACTGCAAAGCCTTCAATTTTCCTGCTAAAGGAGCAGGTTTACATTTCTAAGGAGACACAAGACTGTTGTCCTATATTACCACAGAAGAGCCATATTTATCCATGTGGCTGTTTAATATTATACTGTCGTTCACTCTTTGGAGAGGCTCCTGGGCATTTCAGTTTCTTGGTCAGCAATTGGTAAGAACATTAACATTAACGTATTAACGTACACTGTTTAAATCACTGTTGTGAGGACAAGGAATTTTTTTTTTTTAAGCAAACACTTCAGTAGGGCACTTTTGCTTAATATTAGCATGTTCAAAATGGATTAAACTTGCTGTGATTTTTACAATGACATTGTAGGGCACTGTGGACAGATTATGTGTATACTGTGCAATGATTACTTTCTAACACTATGGAAGCTGATACTTTATAAAAATTATACTGTTTTTCTCAATAAACTGGATTGGTGGTGAAGATAGTTGTGTTATGACAAGAAGAAGAATAATTAAAATCTTTCATCAAAGCCTGAATCTGGGGTTGATTTGGTTTAGGTGATAATCAGCTAGGAAAATTTCTGGAAGTTAAAGGATAGTTAGTAGTCAATTTAGTAAATTACAGTCTTTTCTTTTGCTTCATTACTGTCCTGAGTCTGGTATCCTCATCACCCATTATTTAGAACCCTGTATTGCTCTGCTTTTGAATGTAATTAAGGTAGAGTCTTCAGAGGCTGTATCATGGTTGTGGTGATAGCTGTTGCTTCTTTGTGTTCTTTAAATCACTGGTCCCTGTTACGTGTGGCTTATAAATTGAAAGGGGTCTTTATATTTTGCACTGTTGGCTCTCTATTTACTCTTACCGCTCTCTTTTTGGTGAGGAATTTCAGTATTCTTAAAGCCTTTTTTTAGTGCAAGTAAAAACACCAAAACCAACACACAACAAACACACAAAAAGGCCCACCCAAAATTCCTAGAAACTAGGACTGTAATCATTCTGTCCCAGTATAAGGTAGGGGAATGGTACTGGGTTTCTCTAAATGGATGAATCCCACAGCTTGTTTCTGATGCCAGTCTATTGCTATGTGTTCAGAGAAAAGTAAGCTTTTCCCTATTATCTTCAGCCAGCAACTTGATGGCAGACTTGCTTAGTTCTGTGTGACAATCTCAGAAGATAAATATTGGCTCTTAAGTTTTTTTTTTTTTCAGCTGAATTCTTTCAGTCTGACAAAAGGCATGTGAAATGACAGCTGCCAACCTACGTATCTACTAAATAGACAACTTGTCTAGAGCCATGATAGGCTTAAGCATCTTGAATGCCTACTTAAGTAACTGAAATATTTACATAATCTATGGAGAAATTTTGCTGGGTATCCTAGCAACTAATTATCCTGTATGATGTAGTGCATCACATGATTTGGGTAAATGGCTAGTTGTTAGGCATTTCAAGGCACATCAATTATAATAATTAGCAAAGGTCTTGTTAGAACATTTTAAGCCTGAGAATTTAATAATTCTTTTTTTTTTTTAGCACAATTTACTTTGGTGTTTTCTCTTGTAGCTTTTACTGTAGCAAAGAATGCACTAAGTGCGTCTGCTTTTTTTAATTATTATTTTTACTTTTTTTAACAAGGATATCCTGGAGCTCTTGGAGAAGAGAGTAAAATCAAGGTTCTCTCACCGACAGATATATTTGATGAATTCCTTTGATTTTAAACAATACATTAGGATATTCAAGGAACAGCTTTCTCTTCATGAGTCTTTTGCACAAAAATGGAATAATAATGTTCAGGTATTTAAAGCTCTTTATACTTGGTTTTAGTAAAACATCTAAAATAAGACCAGTTTATAAGCGTAAAGGCTTTACCTAAGATTAGTATCTCCTTTCACTGTTTGGGTTTGATATGGAATAAATCAAATTGTGACAGAGAATCTTTGCTTACTGAAGTCAGGAGATAAAATTATAAGTGTCACAAAAAAGACCAGAAAGTTAAGGTTAGACATGAAGAATTGTATTGTCAAGTGTAAGCTGAGCTTTTTCTGAAAGTTAGCTAACTTATTTTTTCAGGTGAGTATGAAATGATTTGCTGAGATGATTAAAATAGCACTTCATTTTTTTTTAGCATCTCTCAGAGGATAAAACTGTGCAAGACATGCTGCAGAGCCTTTTTCACTACACTAAAGATCTGCGCTCACTTCATTTGCTGTTGGTATGTATTTGGATATGTATATAATAATCTGTAAACACACTTGTGTTTTTTGAGCCAGTTAGCTGAGCTTTTCTTGAAACATCTTTTTATTAAGCGGGCTTTTGACAGTACTGGTTTCTTGCATGCTTTATCAGTCCATGCTTTATGAATGAATTTGAGTAGTTCCAATTTCTGTAGCAGTTATGTTGTGAGGGTGTACTGTTTAATTAAAATGGTGGTGGGTTTTTGGTATTTAAAATAACTTTTGCCAGGTCTTTCCAGTTATATAGCAAAACTGTAGGTGAAATACTTTCAAAATATTCTTTCCTTTCTGAGATTCTTTTTGGTTGCTGGTGAATCCTGAAAACTGCTTTACCAAAACCTACTTTTTCTACCTTTAAGTTTGTTGTTGCTGGCAAATATTCCTCCATTCCTCTTCTTTCACTAAATCTGTCACTATACTAAACCTGCTTCTCTTCATCAATGTCGGTCGTTTTCAAAGATCAGTAAATTTTGGTGCCATTTTTTTACCAGGGTCTCTTACTGTATTCTTGCATCATCTTACGCTCTCCACTTTGCCCTCTTCCTGACACGGTTAGTGTTTGTCTGTGTTCCTGGCCAATCCTCACCTGTTTCCTGAGCTACTCTTGAATAACTCTCTGTGTAGGTATATGTCCTTTTGACATAAAAGCACACGGTGCTGTGTTTGGAATAACTGTCACTTAGAGCTATATTTGTTGTTGTCATCCCTCTTTCCACTCCTCCTTCTTCCTAAACCGTTGCTCTTGCTACAGTGCTCCTCAGCACAGATTACTTGGTTTATGGGCTAGTTGCTCCTGGATACCTCTTCAGTAAGAGGGTTCCCACATACCTACAGTCTTGTTATTCACGCGGAGGAAATGCTTTTGTTTTCTTTTATCACTTCCAATTTCTTCTTATGCAGAGTATCAGATAAAATCACTTTATGAACTGTATGATCAGGCACCACTTTGTGGTTCAGAGCTGGTTTCATATACGGAGCAATTCAGGTAGCCCAGATGCTGTCCTGAATTCGTCTGTTACTGTGACGCTAGTCCAGGAAATGTGATCTTAATCTTTTAAATCTTGAGGTGCTGGAAGCTTGAGGCTGCTAATCCCTAGAAATACTGAGACGGAAGTTAATTCTGATCTTCCGAATGACCGCATCAAGGGCCTGAGGAAGCTTTCAAAATTTTACTTGGTAGCTTCAACCTTTCCTGGTTCTCTTAGGGGAGAGAAGCAAGGCCTCCTCACTGTGTGAAGAAAAATGAGGCTGCTGCCTCCCTGTTCGCTCTGAGAGAAGAGTTCTGTATTCAGTAAGTAGGAGGTAATGCTGGCAGTGGACTTCTCCTATCACGACAAATGAGCTGAAGCTTAACGCCTGGTCAGGCTCTCTTGGAGGGTATTTTTTTTTCTTTTTTAAATTTGCCTTCCTCACTCCTGTTTTTTAACACAGTTAATATGAATGCAATAACATTCATTACAGAAGATAAGTAACACTGATTTAACCGCCTTAAAATACCTATGTGCTTCTGTCAGTGTGAAAAGCCCACTAAACGTACCTGCTTGTCTTGTGTTGTGCAAGTATTCAGATTTTAACCTCCAGCTCTGTGGTGGGCTCTTCTTGGACTCTTTAGCACTTACAGCTTTTCCCAACACTGAGTTTATAGCCACTTGGAAAACTAGATCATAGGCTTCCTGCTGTAGTTCTGAAACACACGGGCATGATCAGAGTCCTCTTTTTGGTAGTCCTCTGCTGACTTGAGTTCGTTATGAGATTGCAGATTATTTCTAGTTTAGCGGCATCCAATTCTGTCTCTGTGGCTTGAACGAATGCCAGAAAAAGAGCTGCTAGCTATCGGAATAGCCTCCCTTTGAGTCCAAGGTGTGTCAGAGCTGAGGCTGAAGTTCCTAATTGTTTTCTTCAGCATGTTCTGAATTTTTCCTTTAGAAAGGAGCTTTTTCACTCTGAAGTCATCTTGTTCATAAAAGTATGTAATGCAGATTCTAGCACTTCTGCAATTTTGTGTTAGCTGAAGCATGGATTAATTGCCCTGCAGGATGAATTTTTCTTTAATTTTGAAAATCTGTAGGAGTCTTCCATTTGAGCTAGTGAGAGAAGCTCTGTGATGGGCAGTGTGGTGGTGGTGACAATTGGAGCTACTTTTGCTAATTACCTGCTTTTCTGTAGCAAGGACTTGCTTTCAATGACCAGCTATTTTTAAATTACATTTAGTGCTCCCCATCACTTTGCTTTGTGAGATGAACACATGGGTTTTCACTGGAAACTTCGTGTCCGTTTCGTGTAGCAGTACCCTAAATGGTATCGTGCAAAACCTTGAAAAGTTTGGAAAAATTGAACAAGTTAAGTTTTTCAGAAAAGTAAAATAAGTAATTTTTTACATAAATAGAACTAGATAGCTCATACCTGAGCTGGTAAAATCTAGTTTTGCTTTCGGTACATGCTGTTTCCCCATGGTTTCTCTCGTGTGGGTGACTTCATGCAGTCAGCTGCTTGTCTGCCTCTGAACCTGGTAAACCAGAAGATGCCCAGTGCTCCAGGCTCTCTTTGGTGTAGTTACCCGTTACTCACCAATTTCGCTAGCCCCGAAGCGGAGAGGGCAGTGACTTACAAGAGATGCTGATGTTTCCTCTACTTCTTTCCCTTTTGCATATCTGTTAGTGACCTGGGGCTGTCGTTTCTTCACCTTCCCCTTTTCCCTAGCCGAATTCTCTTTAGCCTTTATAGTATAAAGCCTCATTCCATACCTTTGGAAGTCTGAATGATCATGAAGCGGAGGGGGCAGGTGACTTACAAGAGATGCTGATGTTTGTTTCCTCTACTTCTTTCCCTTTTGCATGTCTGTTAGTGACCTGGGGCTGTCGTTTCTTCACCTTCCCCTTTTCCCTAGCCGAATTCTCTTTAGCCTTTATAGTATAAAGCCTCATTCCATACCTTTGGAAGTCTGAATGATCATGCGTCTTTTTGAGGCTGTTACATTGACATCTGTAAGGAGAGAAGGAGGACTGGAAAAGACTGGTGGCGGATAGCATTGGATGTTCTCGGTGAAAGACCTCAATTAAACGGATGAAATGAACAGTTTTTCATCACACAGACCTGCAAAAGCAGGAGGTAGTCACTAAAAGCCGTTTTTTCTGTTTATGAATATTAAACTACAAGGCAGATACTTAAAGCCCTAAAGAGCAAGTGAAGGTCACTGCAGTGTGCCTACTGCTGTATAAAGGCTTGTGGATAATCAATGGCTTTGAAAGAGCGGTGTTGGAAGAGGTCAGTTAACTATGTATTTATTAACTTACATTTGTTCAAAACTCACTGTCTGTGACAGGTAGTTGAAGATGGTTAAAGATTCAAATTGTGACTACGTGAGACTGTTTAGCCAATGTTCTGAAGGGGCAACTCCTGTTCTGTAAACTGAGAGGTGCCTTCAGGCACTTTCTTAGCACTTTCAGTGCCATGAGTGCACTGTAGCTCTGTGTGCAAAGGTATGTTTAAAGTAGTTGTAAGTCATTCTTACAGCAATCACTGAAGTATGCTAATCCATTGAAATTAATATAAACAAGTTAATGAGTGTTTATCTCCTCTAGTGAGGAGGCTTTAAAGTTTTAAGCCTGGAAAACCTTCTTGGCAAAATGTAGTGGTAGCTACCAGCTATTTACAAGGTTTTCAGTACGAGCCTACTGTGTGTAGGGTTTATTCACTAATGTTTCCCGTAGGTGACTCCAGGGGAAATGTGTTCTTCTGCATTCCATCTCCAAGTAGAAAGTATGTCTGGTAATTAGTAATGAAATGAAAAATGTCTTCTGCTTTATTTTTAGATGCTCGCTGTAAGTAACGTTACTGTGCATCACCCACTTATCACTGCATCAGATCTTCATGAGGCAAGCAAGCAGTATAGAATGGACTCAAAAGCAAATATTGTGCATGGTAAAGCTCAGCTGTTTCCCCCCAGATGTTTCTTAGGAGTATGGAACGTGTCAAGTCCCTCCCTGAAATTCTCATACCTGTTGGTATGAGCTGCGCAGGGAATACCCCTGCCCGTGGAGTCTGCTCTCTGCTAATTTGCGTTCGTACGCGTGCGTGGATGTAACAATGCCGAACAAACCAGAAATTGAATTACAGTATAGTTGATATAAATCCTACTACGCGGGGAGCTCGGGCAGCGCATGCTGCGCTGCAGGCTTACAGTACCAGCCCCCTTGTTTGGTACAGCAGTGCTAGCCAGGGGAAGCACCGGTAGCCTGAGCAAAGGCACCAGCCGGGGCAGTGTTTCTGTGCCATTTAAATGGCAGAGGGAGAGAAGATGCTGACCTCCTCCTGCCAGCGCTGGGAGCTGGAGGACACTGAAGACGCTTTGGCTGGGAGCTGTTGCAATAAACCCTCTGAGAATTGCAACAGTCTGTGCTTGGATATGTACAAAATGTGAGTGTGTACTCAAATTCTGTACTCTCAGAACTACAGCAGCGTGCGCTTACCTGCATTTAACTGAGCTTGTGTTAATGCTGCACTGACTCCTCTGGTGTGTTTCGGTGTGCTGCTGCTGCCTTTGCGTGGCCTGGGGGTTCTCCCTTTCTGAACCTCGGCAGATGGGATGTGCTGAGCACTATGCTTAAGTTTTCTCTGAAAAGCATTTTGGAACCTGTGCAAACAGTGAGAAGAAACAAACTTCTAATGATGATACTAAGCCCAAATACAGTTACAGGAGGAATTGCTTCCCTGATCAGGAAAAGCTAACTTATCCCATCGCTTCTTTATGGCTTCCAGATTTTACAGGCTTTGGTTTTGCTTGGCCCTGTGGTTCTCAAAGTCTCAGTACTGTGGAGCCAATTCCCTGTATCGCTTCTTTAGCTTTGAAGAGCAAATAACCTCTTCAAACTCTCATTTCATAATATGCTGCACAGTAGCACGGAGATTGTCTTGGTGCTGCTAAAAATTCTTTGTCATGCTGTACAGTCTGCAATGATGGTTTTTCTTTATACTTAAATTTCCTGCTTTTTGATGGAAGCAGCCCGTTTCTTAACATTCTTGCTTCAAATATCTGGAAAACAAATGTTCTCAAATCTAGTCTCTCCAGTTCTGGATTTTTTTTATGTTATGAAGATACATAACACAACTATGTGAGGCCTACAGCATATATAAATAGGGGAATAAAAATAGCATGTGAACTGCTTGCCTTTCTGATATGCTTAAGAGAAATATTTAGAGCTCTTGTCTTTCCCCCCTAGGTTTGTCTGTCCTGGAAATCTGCCTAATTATAGCTATGAAACACTTAAATGATGTTTATGAAGGAGAACCATTTAACTTCCAGATGGTTTACAATGGTGAGAGAAATGCATCAACTTTGCATACACTAAATCACTTACTTTCCCCTAAGTAACTTTTTTTTCCCCTATTACTGATACAGAATTCCAGAAGTTCATACAGAGGAAGGCACATTGTATGTACAACTTTGAAAAGCCAGTTGTCATGAAGGTAAGCCTGAAATTAATTTTTTTTTTATTTTAAAGTTTTTAGATGTTGTTTTTTCTTTCCTAGTGTACAGATTTGACGTGCAGCCCTAAAACCGAGACTGGGCGCACCAAGGCGGTGAGAACTCCCGGCTCTTGGAGCAGGCACCCAGGGCGGTGGGCTTGGGCAGTGCCTGGCCGCCGGCGCTCGCCTTTCCTGGAGTGGGAGCTCAAGGCTGTGCTGAGCTGGTAAACGGTTACACTTGGAAGGGTTTAGTACCAGGGCAAGGACTCCCTTTCAAGTGAGCTTAACTGCTTTAGGACTGGGGTTTAGCAAGAATGACCGCATCAGAAATGGCTTCCAAAGGAGAGATTTGCATACATGTGCAGGTATCTTCAGCTTGCTCGTTCACTTCTGTTGTTTAGAAGTGATGTCTCCAAAATTTAAATTAATCTTATCACATCAAAAACCTGGTTTACTTAATCCAAGTCCCACTACGTCTGATGGTGTATGGAATCAATTTGTAGCCTAATGTGGCTGGCTCTGCCTCAACCAACTACAGTCTGAAGTGCAAATTGAAAAATAGTATTTTGGTTACAAACCTGATGCTCATTGGCCTTCTGGGCTGTCACTCAATTAACATAATTTTGCCAGGCTCTGTTCAGGGATCCGGTTGTCGGGCATAATCCTGCTGTAGCGTAGCAATCAAACAGGGGTCGTGCAGACGCTAAGTTTTCAGTTAATGAACTTAACCCCGCGACCAGCAATTCGGTAGTCAAAGCTGTCTTCCCGTCTTGCAACGTTTAAGCTGAGCAGCCTTGGTTTCTGATTCAACATTATTCGATTACACTTAAACTGGAAATTATGTAATGCTGTCTGTGCACTTGTAATGGACTTTTCCAGTTTGTATCCCAGAATAACAAAGTCATTCCCAGTCAGTTACATGTACACCAGATTTCAAATACTATTTCTTTAAGAAGAAAAGCGAAGGTAAAACAGAGCTGGCATTTAATGTCTGTCTGTTGAGATCATACATCACAGGTTTCTGTCAAAACAGCGTCTCTTAGGCCACTCAAAATGAGCAGTACAGCCCAGAACGATGTTATCTTCCATTTCCTAATTTTTTTTCTTTTGTTTTTAGGCATTTGAACACTTACTACAACTGGAATTAGTAAAACCAATAGAAAGACCATCTGTACGTGCTCAGAGAGAGTACCTCTTAATGAAACTGCTTTTGGACAATAATCAAATCATGGACGCTTTGCAAGCGTATCCGAACTGCCCGACAGACGTTAAACAGTGGGCAGCGTCATCTCTCAGTTGGTTGTGAACTTTCTGGAACTTGCAATATTGCTTCCTACATTAGAACTTTTGGAGTTAACGGTAAACTCCAGAAGATGTAATGTTTACCCACAGTAGGGTGTTCAAATTAATAAATTTTTGAAGAAGCTTGCTTTGCTGATCGACTTGGGATTTTGTTTTTTAAGGAGAACTGTACTGCTGTTATCTTCTAATGGCCATAAATTTGATTAACTTAAATGCTCAGTGCTAACGTTTCCACTTTGTAGAAATCAAAGCTCTTCGGAATGTCTCGATCTCGGATGACAACTGCTGTAGATGCTGGCTCAGTGGCGTGCCGCCACCGACGGCTGCGGGTCTCGCGCTGTAAGTTCTGACGCACAGATCCATCCCTAATGCAGTTTAAAGCTCATACTTAGTGTACTTTTTCTTCTCAAATTTGACTTGACATAGAAAATTTACTTAATTAAACAAGAAGTGGGTTTTACAGCTGTTCTAGTGGAAGATACGTACAAAAGGTACGTAACATAGATGTATGTCCCAGATACGGTATCAGAAGTACGCTCCTTTCCAGGTAAGAGTTCTTTGGGTTAGTACCGCAGCGCCGAGGAAATGCTGTGTAAGGGCTGGTTGCTGCTTTCTCTGAACAGTTTGACCCTGCGAATGGTAGTGGCTGGAGGTAACAAGGGACAGGCTGAACGTCACCCCTCCTGTTTGGTGGCAGAAGGATGATGCAGCAGGGCTGATGGCTTTCTCCTTCCTGAGCAGAGTAAGTTCTCTCACTCTTACCTTAAAGCCTATACGATGTAATCTGCATTTTTAGCAGCCCAGTGGCTTGTCTGTCAACAAGCTGAAGATATTTCAGTGATGTTTGTTCATGCTTGGGCCCCCTTTGCTCTGCTTTCACTCAGAAGCCCTTCTTTTCGGTCAAAGGTTTATTTGCTTTATTTTGCTCTCTTTGCTGCTTCATTAAAGCTATAGTCTATACACCTGCATATCTTGAAGAGCAGAGCAGTGCTTTGGAAAGCAGCAAAATAAGTAACAGGATTGTGATAACTTTATCATGTAGTTCCTGTAAGTGATGGCGTAGACAACCTACATGATGCTATTAGATGGGAACGCTATTGCAAACTATAAATAAAAAAGTTGTTACAAGATTTTCTGCAGAAGTACTTACCCAGAAAGAAAAGTTATTTATTCAGCCAACGCAAATCTCATTGTTTCAGCGTAGCTCACGTAATTCAAAGTGGTCTTTTAAAAAGGGATGAAGGAAGGGGTTACCCACTGCTAGCCGAGTAGAGGTGGGAGAGATGCGATCAGTAGGCGATGTCTGCGTTTCATTTGCTAGAGTTCTCTTTATGAGCGGTCTCGAGCACGGTGCCCGACTGAACCAGCTGTGGAGAGACAGCTGAAGGCACCTGCTGGCTCAGGAATACAGACATCGGGCTCCGCACACCAGCAGGACTACAGGCTGAGGGACTCCAGCTGCGCACTCCAAAACTGAGGTGACAATCCTGTCCTGAAGCCCCGTCAGTCACTGGCCGACCTGTTCCGAAGCAGAAGGAATGATCGGGAGCTGTCTAACAGTGCTGTATCTCACAGGAAGGGTTGATTAAATCAATTGATGCAGCAGCTCCCCCCTTCCCCTGCCTTTGCTCACACTCTTGGTCCTGTCATTTGATTTACTGGGTAAAGGAGAGCGGTGACAGAGAGGATGCTTATCCCAGCACTGTGGCACTGGAATATTGCGTAGTTTAATGAGCAGTGTTGTGTAAATGACAATTACCAAACCTTTCATGCCACAGCCTGTTTTGAAGTTTAACTTCCGCATTCAGAACTCCTTGCCATTAAGTAACAGTCTTCAACCCACGTATCTAATATATGCTGGAAATAAGGTAAATCTCTAGGTTTTACAGAAGACTTACAGCGCTGGCTTCAGTACTGTATCACTTCTACAAAAACAAACTGCAGTAGCAATAATGCAGACTGGGAAAAAAAAAAACCCACTTTTAACAGAACAGCAGTTTCATCATATCCACAGATTTGTGAAGGTCTGGTTGATGAAATTTAACGTTTTTAGAAGGGAGAGAGGTGACGGACACTTAATTCAAGGTGAAGGACAAAAGCTCAGTAATCTCCCTCGAAGCAGAAGACTGCACGTGGCACCCCCGCACCAATCCTGCAGAACAGGGCTCTCCTTTCTTGCGGCTGTCGTGGAAGTGGTTGCTTTGCCCAAGGAGAAGGATCAGCCGGACAGGTCCGTGGCTCGGTGGTGAGCTGGTCTCTGGAATATCGGTTGCAGAGTATCAGTTGCAGTGGGTGGAGTTACCAAAACATCGCTGGAGCCTTTCTCTGCCCTCGGCTGAAGCGGCAGCCTCCCAGCGGCAGCCTCCATCAGCCTGGTAGGGAGTCTGCCTCGGCGCTCGCCTGCCCCTTAAAGGCTATGGAACGGCGAAGTGTCCCTTGATGACAGAGGAGGACAGGGAGAGGAGAGTCTTCCCTCAGAAATGCTGGAGGTGACGCTTCCCCACCAAATTTAAACTGCGAGGTCTTCCCATTCTCTTTTTTTTTTTGCCACAAAACTTGCCATGCAACATGACAATTACTGCATCTGTAGAAATAGTGACATGTCTCTTCTGCCACAGTGTTACAGTTTGAAAAAAGGCATATGCAAGGCATAGTAGTCACATTTTTTATTTTAACTTTTTGGGGGAATAGGGGAGAAAGAGTATACATTTTTATTTGTACAATATTTAACAATCACTTTGAGGGCGGGGGGGTTGGTTTGTTTCTAGTACTTGCAGAAAAACAGCAAGTACCTTTTGACAGTAGTACAACAACCTGTGCCCAAAACACTGACAAATACAAAGAGTAAAGTTAAAATAATTGCTTACCAAAATCTTGAGAGGTAACGAATAGTATATGGACTTGAACGGCATTAAAAAAATAAAAGGGGGCGGGGGGGGGAAGTACTGCTGGTTGAGTATCTGAGGTAAATGATGTTCCATCAAGGATGCTACTTGAATCATTTTGCCCATGAACATATATTGCAGCTTTCTGCATTTTGTACCAAGTGTTCCTAATAAAAGTAAATGTATTAAAAAAGGTTAAAAAAAGAGAAGCTGGAAAAAGAGCAAACTGGTAACCCTATTTATTCTGTCAAATGCTAATGTGAACAGGAAATGTCTTATTACTGTCTGGTTACAATTCAGATAGCACACCAAAGTTGGTATTTGAAAACTACACCGACTTTTAAAAATCTCAAACAGAAGGTACAAAGTGGCGGATTTCAGTCCTCGTGGTGTAGTTTCAGAATACCACCACGAATGACAGCGCTAGTTCAACAACTCCAACAACTATGAGGCACGGTCTCTGCTCTGAAACGCTACAGTACGTGTAGTTGTAAGTACAAAGTCATGCAGGATGCGATACAGAAACTTCTTACCCTCCAACACAACGCAAAAAGTAACACCGGGCTTAAACTTCTGGCAAGCCACAGGACAGGGCGACCCTTTGGAGCTCATACCCACATGCCACATCGCTACAGGCCGTAAAGGGACCGTGGTCACCGCCTGCTAGTAAGTAATGCCGAAGTATTTCCGCTAGCACCAGTCTTACTGCACCCTGCCCTCGTTTACACTTGGAAAGTGCTGCTGGCTCAGGCATCCTCTCAACTTGCGCATTAAATGCTCTAAAACAAAAATACACGTCAAAATGCCCTGTGAGAACAGTCGTACCAGAACAGCTCTGGGGATATTACTGTTACCAAACTAAAAAGCATTTATACTATGAACATCCTTTTCACAGTGACACTAAATGACGCTGTTAAAAGTCAGGAACTCAGAGTAGCACAATATTTAAACAATCGGGGATATCCAAAGGCAGTTTGAAAACACAAAGATAAGTTATCTCGGTTCTCCTGATGCGAGGCGTAGCGAGCACCCTGCGCTGCTGGCAACGTGCAGCGCGTGAGCCGAGTCCCCACCACTTCGCTGCGAGAACCTGCGGCAGCTGAAGTTTACAGGATAACACACAGATGATACACGTTTTATACATGACCAATTTTTGCATCAGATCTTGAATAACAGATTACAAAACCATCTGTATTTACTCCGTTTTTGCTAGTAAAGAGGTTAAAACTTATTAGGAGGTCTTCAGTGAAGTACGAATGGATTCATATTTGTTCAGAACTCAGCAGCTACGTTCATGTCCTGCTGTGTGCGTAAAGTCGCGTCCCTGGATTAAAAATGGAAGCAAAATGAAAGCGTCAATTGAAGAAGCGGCCAGAAACTAGATTTCTTTCTTTTTATAGCCAAGCTGAACACCACGGGGTTGCGCCCTACAGACCAACGACCCTTTAGAGCAGGGTTCTTCTGGCTACCTGGAACCTTCGGCATACACCTGACGAACAGCAGGACAGGCGGCACTGGGTGGTACATCAGACCTTTCTTCCCCTCCCTGCCAAGAGCATGGTGACCTACGTCTTGTTTATCCGAAATGTCTCTTATTGTTCCCAGAGATTAAGTTCACGTACATGTAAAACAGAGAGAGTCTTCTGGCTGTACAGATCCGTTTTCAAGATGACATTCAGAGCGAGCTCCTAACTGCAACATTAAAAGCTTCTTTCGAAAGACATTGAATGCTTGGTGTAAAAACAAAGAAAAAGATGATGAAATACACAGCATACTACTAGCTATTGTCGGTTCTGTACTCTAGAGGTTCATACAATTTATTTTACTTGGAAATTTGTGTAAAGGATCAAATATAGTGAAGCAGTACTTCTGAGAAGCACTTTGGCACCTATCTACCAGTCACTTCGTAATTGAATGGTAAGGCATGACTTCCTAAACTCGAAAAGAATGTTGGAGTTGTGAAAGCAATTTCAATGTTTTTCCTCATTTTTTGAGTCTGTGCTACGGACATTGGTATTCGTTACCTCTAAATAGTCATTGCATATTTTAAGTTGTAAGCGTCACTAAATCATCCCTGAAATTTGTAAGCATTTATAATCTGAAATCTGTGGCTAGAATTTTTCATATGATTCTAGGATAAACCTACGTATCACAGACATTAAGTAGTGCTCTGACGAGATGGCACCAAGCTGTAAGTAGAGTGAAGTTGCAAATCTCGAAGCAGAGAGTAAGGAATTC